AAGTTTTTTTGTATTTTTCGTAGAGACGGGGTATCACCATGTTGACCATGGTGGGCCAGTCCAGGCTCAAACTCCTGACCTCAGATTATCCGCCTACCTTGGCCTCCCGAAGTGCTGGGATTACAGGCGTGAGGTACCACACCCGGCTGTCCATTTCTTTCTTGTTTTTAAACTGCTGTAGTATTTTCAAGCAAACCCAAATCCCTGACAGCATGTCATTTTACCCATAAAAATTTTTTTTCTTATATAGCACTTAACTTTATCACCACTAACAAAACTAACATTGAAATGTTAAGTGTCTGATATCTCATATCAACTGAACAGTTCCCTTAATTGTCTGAAATTAGCTTTATGTGTATGCTGCAATTAGTTTGTTAAGGTCAGGATCCAAACAAGATTCATCAAATTTGATAATTATTTCTCTTAAGTGAGGATACTCTCTCTCTGCCAACACACTTTGTGTTATGCCATTCACTCACTGAAAAAAAAGGGTAACTGGCCTGTAGTATGTCTTTTAGAGTTGGCTGGTTTCTCATGGTATAATTTAGTTTGTTCTTCTGTCCCCTACGTCTTTTTTTTTTTTCTGTCCCCTACATCTTCTATAAATTAAAATTTAGATCTGTTTAAGCAGGAAAAAAAAGAAAAAATAATTTAGATCTAAAGGCTTCATTAGGTTCACACTCAAATGTTTTTGATGAGAACATTTCACAGGTGGCTCTGTACATCTCACAATAGAAAACATCCAGAGCTGTACAGTGTCTGGGTGGCCCACCATGAAATACTTCTAAGCAAGTGAATGACATGGCCTAAATTACATGATTTTGGTGGCTCCATGGCAAGTGGCTGTAAAGAAGGCTAGACTTGAATTAAGGAGAAAATTTAGAAGGCCATTATAGTAGTCTAAGCCTGTCATAGGGTTCCAAATTAGGTTTGTAGTATTGTAAATGGAGAAGAGGGGATAAATTTAAGAAATATTTAAGATGTGGCTGGGCACGATGGCTCATGCTTGTAGTCTGTAGTCCCAGCACTTTGGGAGGCCAAGGCGGGTGAATCACCTGAGGTCGAGAGTTCAATTCCAGCCTGGCCAACATGGAGAAATCCCATTTCTACTAAAAATGCAAAATTAGCCAACTCTGGTGGTACATGCCTTTCCCAGCTACTCTGGAGGCTGAGACAGGAGAATCCCTTGAACCCAGGAGGCAGAGATTGCTGTGAGCTGAGATTGCACCACTGCACTACAGTCTGGGCTAGGCAACAGGAGCAAAACTCTGTCTCAAAAAAAAAAGAAAGAAAGGAAAAAAAAATATTTAAGATGTAAAATTGACACATCTTGGTGGCTGGTGGATACGGGAAGTAAGAGTAGAAAGAG